GGGATATCTTCGAATAAGTTCTTCCCTCATCCAGCCTGGACCCACGGTTTAGCTTAATCTATACACTTAAACCATTACATTCACAACCACATCTAGAACATTTTAAGCATGTTTCATTGCTATATTGATTACTTTACATTTACAAGTTAACTTCTCCGTGTTGGCTCTTATGGTTTCGAGTCTGGTCCAGTGAGCTAAACTTCGAAAATAATGCCAAACATTTCATTTTCTAATCAAAACAACTTCTACATTTCCGGAATGGCTTTTATTTTCTACCATAGCGGCTTAGAGTTTTTTTGTTTTTTTTTGTACAAGTACAAACATTTAGCTCATAGCTCCATCACTTCTTTACCGGTTTGAGATCTAATTACAATTTTGGACTCAGGCGGTCAAACCCTTTCCATTGATGTATTTGATCACGCCCAAGGTCTCATATATTAATTTACTTCTGCCAAAAAAGAATTTCAAGTGCCGCGACTATTGAGGATTCCCTCATTTTTTGTCTTTTTTATCGACATCAAGATGTCGGGCTGGCGTACATGGCATGTGTTAAAAATGTAAAACCCATTTTCGAAAATAAACGTGCATTTCTTAAGAAAAAAATCTTAGCTGATTCTGTCAAATTTGGTCTTGTTTACATTTCTCTGATTTTACTTTACGGTTATCGACCGCTTCGAAAACCCTTATAACTATTTGGACATAAGCGTGGTCAATATATCGGATTCAAGACGTTGTTTTACAAGGAATGTCTCTCACTTTTCAGATTAGCAGTTTATCGCACTATTCTTTACGAGTAGCTGCTTCAGAACTGCCTTACATATGATCTGCTGTTTAAAATTAGAGACGGTTATGCTTAAATTATCTGGGTCTTTGTTTACTTTTACGTTAAGCTACTCGAGTGATATCTGCACTAGCAGTCCATCATAATTTTGAAGCGATAAACTAGAGGAAAGGCAGCTAGTTAAAGCCATCCATCGACAACTTTTTTACCAAAAAGTAGTGGGATTAATTGTAACATTATAACGTCCCCACGGTTGAAAGGACATGCATGTTCGGGTGATGGGATTCAAACCGCGGATTGCGAGTCGCGCGCCCTGCTCCCCAGTAACACAGCGGCATGTCTGCGGACTTGAGACGCTAGAAACTGGGTTGCGATACCCGTAGTGGGCAGAGCACAGATAGCCCATTGTGTAGCTATGTGCTTAACTTCAAACCAACAAACGCGCGCCTTGACCACGAGGCCACGTAAGTCGATAATATTACATAAACTATATTTGTGTTTGTTAAAATAACAATAATAAATATACAAAAAACGCTGTTTTTGTTTTGAAACATACTAAACAAACGTTAAACTTTCAGTTAACATTTCATAAACTTTATAAAAATAGATTTTCTTTAGAAAACGTTGCTGTATGTTTAAGAAAATGTAGTTCTGAACATACACGTTAAAAAAGAACGAATTATAACTAACGCAAAAACAAAAGTTCAGTTTTCTCACAAAATATTTTTTGTGGCATTAAAACAACTACTTTTGTAGTAAGGTCCGCGAGATATTGTCGATTCCTACAATGGTATTACTGTTCTTGTTCCTAAAGTGTGAAAATCAAGTGTTCGTCTAGTCAAAGCCCTTTTAAAACAGCAATTTCATAAGTACACATAGGTATCTTGCCCAAATGTCAGTCCAATAATGTAAAAGTTCATAACACTAAACAAAGTAACTGAAAAAACAACAACAGATACATGAACAATAAAGTACTGGCGAGATTTAGCGTCTTTCAAAACTACAACTATTCACTCACACAGAAAAGTAACCCGGATTTCTAAAGGAAGACTTTAGACTATATCGTTGTAATATCTCGTTATTTTATTGGATAATTATAACCTGAATTTCTGAAGGAAAAATTTAGACTATATCGTTGTAACATATCTTCATTGCATTGTATAATTATGTGTGGTGTGTCTACACTAATATAAGTGTAAGTAACTGCGTTTTCTTTGTGTTCATTAAATCAGCTCGAAAATGTATATATCCTAACCAAACTTGTTTTATCTTTTCGTGCTGCCATCTACCGATAAAACACGCATGCACGTGCTCATATCTTTCAGTTATATGTTACTAATTCACTAATGTGTGTGTGCGTTACTAGTGAACATCGTGACTAAATCATGGTTTACATTACTCATTTGACAACTCGAAATTATGATGAAATATAATTACCAATTTTCACTGACAAGAAGTCTTTCTACCGTACACCATCTAGAACGTACACACACAATAAATAAAATCAAGTAAACTCAGTGACTAATTTGTGTAGAATAGTTAATAAACAACTTCTGTTCAATACACAATTTTGGTTTAAAAATGATTTAAGGTTACCAACTTTAAAGTATTCACCAAATGACCGTGCTGACATAAGGAAGAAAACGAATGTCATACATGACATAAGCCAAACACGTGGGGAGAAGTGTTCTTTACAAGCAATATCTTACCCTCCTATAAAAAAGATCCATAATTTCTAAGAACAAAGACAACTACAACCTAACTTTTAGAGACAAGTTTGAATAACGTCAGATCTATCTATTTATGGACGTATTTCTATCCCAAGTTAGGGTCAATAATGTTATCTCAAGAAAGGAAATAATACTGAAAAGTATACGAAACAATTAAAGTAAATTTGTTAGCATATACATTCTCCACTGACCACAACTAAAACTTACGAGCTCTTGAAAAATCTACATTTTTACAACAAACTGCACGAACAACAATATAACATCGTGGTTTACCAGTTTTATTGTAAACTCAACAAGTCTCTCTCTGCATTTTCAGGAATTAAATTTTAAATGTTTACGATTTTGTTTGTAATTAAGCACAAAGCTACACAATGGGCTATCTGTGCTCTGCCCACCACGGATAAATAGAATGAAGATCAAGATCTAGGATAACTTTACAATATTCAATCTATTTATCTATCCCAACTTCATAATTTTACTAGTCTGCATACAGCTTTGCTTAGTATTTAAATATACGAACTTTTTCATACATTTTCACAGTTTAATTACGTGACAAAATACTACAATTTTTCCATTCTTGCTGGTCGTCTTAAGAGACAAACATACCACACTCAACTAACAGGAATTTTTTAAACTGTTTTATTTGTCAAAGTATGCAGCTACCATCTTAGGAAACACCACAGTGAGCATTCTTAACCTGTATATTATTAAAAAAAAACGACAGAAGGCTTCTATAAATACATACTTATAGTCCTGGTAATGAGATTACCCAAATTTTACTTACAAAAAAAGATATGAAAATATTTAGTTTTCACAGGAATGCTAGGAAATTTTTTCTATCCAAGTTTATGAACCTAACATTATTTTATATAGATTTCATCCAACTGGCTGTATTTTTTTAGACTTTTTTTACAGTGTTCTGTAGCGAAATAAGCAAACAAAAAAGCAGACTATTTTATGTAGACTTAAAGAACACTTACTCAAACAGAACAGAAAATAAAAAATATGAAGCAGTCTTAAGTAAAACATTTTTTGTTTTTGAGTGTAATATTTTATCCTTTCATGTGAATTTTATCTATGGAAGAATGTAAGTTTATTATACAGAGAAGTACAACTCACGGGTGTTGGTGATATAGGCTACCATACTGTTACCACTACCTAAAAATTGTAGTGAAAATAATTGATTTAATCTTTCACAAATCTTTAAAGTGAAAAACATTCTGACAATATTATGATGGATATGTATTTGGTGTTATATATATTTCTATTACTTACAAAAGCAAAATATATTTTGGGATAAAAAAAAAAGTCACTTTAATAACCGTAATGTATACATCTTTTGTTATGTTTGATGGGGATGGCTGAAGTAAATCCTCCCAGTCTTAAACAGGTGTTTTGTATCTCTTAAGTTTTATGGAGCTGTGTAACCATAAGGTATACATATATCATTTGTTACCTCTGATGTGTTACACACACATCTTAACTTCATTATTCACTGGCTGTTTTTAACCTAAACAATTCATTGAAGATTCTGTTAAACTAAATCGGTGAACTTTCTAGTTTGTGATATTTGATGAACTGTCTATGTTGTATTCAGTACTCTCAATGATACATTTAAATTTATAAAATATATACATGCACACACTGCATGACACTGAATTTCTGTTTGACAACTATTGTTTTCTCAATTCTTTGCTACTGCTTGCTACCTTTTGTAATTTCTCTGATGTTGTCAAATCATGTTCTTCTCATGTAAGGCTACAGCAGTAATACTGTTCTTAACCCTCCCCAAACACAGCTAGTGACGTATATAACCATGCTACTGCTTGCTACCTTTTGTAATTTCTCTGATGTTGTCAAATCATGTTCTTCTCATGTAAGGCTACAGCAGTAATACTGTTCTTAACCCTCCCCAAACACAGCTAGTGATGTATATAACCATTACATCAAGTATTTACAACTATTTGCCAAATACTGATATAACAGGATGAAGTTGTACTTCCTAGCCTTGACAAGGTCTCAATCCTGCAGCTTAATGGTACACATTTTCTTTAGGCAGTTTTCCAACTCACCTTTTCAACACATTTTTTGTGGAACAGTAGTTTTTCCTTTTCTTTTTTGTAATTTCAAATTATATTAAAAACACCTGTTCTGTATTATATTTAATAGTTATTTAGGGTAGCTTACAGAATAGGTTATTCTAAATATTACTACACCAAACCATCTAGTAATATAGTTCATTACATTCAGTGACACATATTTATATCAACTACTTTATATCAACATAACTACTTTCAACAATCTTCAGAAATAATTACAATTACATTGTACAGTTGTGATGTATGAAAATACATATAAAACTGTTAATATCTGAAAATTTATACAGTAAAATTTTAAGTATATTTAATCGAAATCACATGTATTAGATTCAACTTTAAAATAAAGTAATGCTTTAGGTTTTGTATTATTTTACATGCCTTAACTGTTTACACATCATGTATTATTTACAAGTTTTCATAGAAACAGTTTATTGTTGATGAAAACTAGTTTACTGATGATTAATAACTTATTCCAGCCAAAGTAAGAGCATCAAGATGATAAATACAGTGATGGAGATAGAGGCTTATTTAAGAATACTAGAGAATTACATGTTAAACTCCATACTTATCTTAACAGTTTTTAACAGGTTTGTTTTAGCATTGTTTGATATTCTAGTATATTTCAGGGATTTAGAACAGTATAATTAGTGAAATTCATTTGTACATGCTTGATATTTGGTTAAAAACTGTAGTTTGAATCATGCACTCAGAGCTAATCAGTAAAAGTAAACTGAACATCACTGTTTGAGATTTTTTATCTCCAACCATTTCTGGTGTGGGGGAAAAAAAAAGACATCAAATGCTTGACACCTAGCTTTAGAATTGGCTACATTCTAAATTAAAGTTCCAAGGAATACCACTTCTTATCAGTATCCAAGGCTAACCTACAACAGTACTTCCCAATATTGATCAGAATTAGGAGTGTGTTAAAACATCACAAGATTTTAGCACTCTTTCTTCCCTGAAACTAAATGATAGAAAAGAAAAAAAAACATCAACAAATTTTGAAGACAGTACTACTCTGTGAAACACTTAACACAGCAGTGTACCTAGCAGTTTGAAAGAAACCTTATAAAACATTAATTCATATCTTACATTCACTGTTTCAAAAAACAGAGCTGGAATTTAATCTTTTTTGCTTTGGTATAGTCTAAGGATGTGAACAAAGTGTAAATCCCTGAAAGCAGTCTAACTCGGAAAGTACCTTGACACTAACAATCCTAATTGTGCTAAACTACTAAGTAACTTCTATGTTGTGTTATATTCCTCAATAGAAGAGGATGTCAAAACCTCTACACCTGTTTTTGTAACAAGAATAGTATGCTCAAACTGAGCACAGCGACTATTGTCTAATGTAACTGCCGTCCAGCCATCTTCAAGAATCACAATCTTTGGTTCTCCTTCCGATATTACTGGTTCTAAAGAAATAAAAACCAAAGGCTAAGGTATAGCAAGTACTTAAATTTATATTCCTAATGTTTCTTTTTAAATTGTATATTAATTAAAATCGTGAAAAAGAATATTTTAGTGTAAAATTGATCTTCAGATAATTTTTTAAATTTCTCATGCAAAATAAGAAATTATTTATCTTCACAAAATATAGATTATGATACACTTTATTTCATGTTTACTTTTGAAAAGTTTTTATTCATGAAGGGCAGTCTTGGCTCTCCCTTAAATGTTGACAATTTTTGAACCCTTAAATGACATATTTATAACAAATATAAAAATAAAATCTTTCTCTTCCAGTATAGCAGAATTATAACTGGTAGTTTAGAGGAAAGATAATAGAATACACCTCTGTCTCCATGCAAGTCATTAGTAATAATATTAGGTATACAAGCTATATTTTATTATAACCAAAGTTTTGAAATTTAGTTAAATATAACTGCTGAAAGTAAACAATGAAATAACTGCTGCTGCTACTATTAAATGACAGTTAATATTCTCTATTCCTTCAAACTGTGCCTCAAGAGGTAGTTGTATCTGTAACATATGCAAACATAAATGATAAGTAGGTAAATCAAATAGCATAACTATTTAGATAATAGTTTTAAAAATAAGTCTACCACATTTAAAGATAAACATAGCAGACTCAAGACTATGTTAGGAGTATTAGAACAAAACAGAAAAGTTCTAGGCTCTGGCTGAAATAGAAGACTAATATAATGGTTAGGTTTGGATAATAGTGATAACAGGAATTATTTTCAAATTTCAGGTTATAAGTTATTTAACAGTTATAAATTTTTTAAGAAAGAGGTAAAGTAGATATTTATATAAGGAATGAACTACAGCTTGTTGGTATGGTAGTCATGAAGCTGAACATACAAGGGTAAAAAGTTTGTAATTGTGATTTGTTGTAAGTCATCTGATCAGACAGAAAAGGTAAATGAGAAACTGTATAATTAGATCAGGATTGCTACTAATAAGAAAACTCAAGCAATACTTATGGGAGACTAATTTTAGTCACATTAACCGTGACTATATGGGGTCAAATATTGAGGGTGATTCAGTATGGTTTTCTATATCAAATAACGTGTGGGAATGGGTTGGTGTGTTATTGAAAGATTTATTGTTAACCACCAATGAGGATGTGGATGTAAAAGTTGAAGAGGGGGAACATTTGGAGAAGAGTAATCATTGCATAATTAAATATTTTGATATATCTAGAGATAAAGAAAAATGAAATATTAGTTACTAATTTTTAGAAAGCCAATTTTGAGCCCATGAGAAAAGATTTATCATAAGTGACTTGGGACAGTGAGTTAAAGAGAGAATGTGGGACAGATGTGGAGAATTTTTAAAAATAATTTGCTTTTGATTCAAGGTGTGAATATTCCTAAAAAGAAGAAAAAAGAATAACAGGGAAGGTCAAACCTAATTGATTTACAAAAGAAATAAGAGAAATTCAGACAAATACTGAAGTTTAAAAAGCTTAAATTAACAAACAAGTTGGAAAATTTACATAACTATAGAAAGCCTCAGGATCTGGTTAAAAGAACTTAGTAAATGAGAAACAGCTGGTTGATAATGTTAAGAATAACAGCAAGGATGTTTTTATGTATGTTAAAGGGTAGCAAAATTTTAGTATGGGGATTGGGTGCTAATGGCAAGGTTATTGTAGAAGGTTATGAGTTGATTGAGCTTTTAAGTATTGGACACAGTCAACTGTTAGTTATATGTATAATGCCATTAACTTCAAGTCATAAGTGTAGGCACATGTATGTAGTAAATGACTAAAGAAGTTCATGTTGTTTACAAACCTCAATGTTTATTTCACTGTTTACAAACCTCCATGTTTATTTCACTGTTTACAAACCTCAATGTTTATTTCACTGTTTACAAACCTCAATGTTTATTTCACTGTTTACAAACCTCAATATTTATTTCACTGTTTACAAACCTCAATGTTTATTTCACTGTTTACAAACCTCAATGTTTATTTCACTGTTTACAAACCTCCATGTTTATTTCACTGTTTACAAACCTCCATGTTTATTTTACTGTTTACAAACCTCAATGTTTATTTCACTGTTTACAAACCTCCATGTTTATTTTACTGTTTACAAACCTCACTGTTTATTTCTACTGTTTACAAACCTCCATGTCTATTCACTGTTTACAAACCTCAATGTTTATTTACTGTTTACAACCT